CTGTCATGACTAGGGATGCAAAACTCTTGCTAGTTAGGCTGACTCCTTAAACCTCTAAAAAGCTCGCTTCTATTCAGGAATGTCACAGTAGGACAGAATATCTGTTCTAATTTAAAAGGTCTACCCTGAACATTCTGCAGCTTTCGGAAATCACTGGTCTTAACATGCTGTTTCGAACTACTGCACGGCATTTCGCAATACGCTGCACTGCCTCTTCTACAACACAATGGCAGGAAGGAAAACGCTTTGAGCAACGAGTAAAGGTTTCTCGGAAATGTAGCGCACAAGCGATAACAGTTCCACCTCTCTCAGTGGAAAAGGCGAGGGAAGAAATATCCGTTAGATTTCCTAACTTTCTGGCTGCAGTTAAAATTTCCGCGCGTTTCTGGGGTCTTGATGGAAAGGTTTGCTGCTGGAAGAGATTTTAGTGGGATGCTGGTCCTAATTCCAGTACAGCTGTTTGGCCCCTATATTGTAAAAAAGCCATCGTCCTTCAGATGAAACATACAACTGAGGTCCTGACTCCCTGTGGCTTCATCACTCTGCTCTCCTCCCAGCTGAGAGCTGGTGTGTAGGGAGCGGACTGGCACACTGGGGGTGGAGGGGATCCCCATTACCTGTCCAGCACCCTGAGTGGAGTGTCCAGAAAGGCGCTATATACTGTAAACGTAAGAGAGTATTATTCTAAATAAAATCAAGCCTTTCCTGTCCGCCTGCAAGTGGTCCTGTTGCTGTACTGGTCATCTAGTGTTGTTCAGCCACTGGAGGGAACTGGGAGACAGGAAGGAGGCGACAGCAGGTACCGGAGAGTGTGGGGGTCTGCGGCTCGGGCTCCGCCTCCGCGGGGATGATGATGGGGGGCAGCGGCACGTCGACCCGGTCTTCCTCCGACCCCCAGCGGCTCTTCCTTTTCTTTTTGCTGGCGGTATGCGCCGGCGCGGTCGTCGGGGAGACGGCCGGGGGGGGCGGGGCGTCGGGGGGCGGGGCCGGGCGTTTCAGCCTCGCCTGCGTCTCCGGGGGGCTGGGGGCGGGGCTCTGCTGCTTCCCCGCCCGCCTAAACTCCTCCACCCGCTCCCTGTAGAAGCGGTGAGCTGCGCTGTCAGGCTCGAACAAGAACCTGCGGGGAGAGGACAACACCGCCATCGCACCCTCAAGAGCTTTCGCACCGGGGCTGCGGGCCAATCTGATCCTGGGCAGTGGTTATGGGATCAGTTAAAGGAAGAAATGGGCTTTGATTCAAACAACATATTAATAAACACGCAGTGAAGTTATTTTCTGAGAAATGTGGTTGGCGCATCTCTCATGTTACCCTAAAAAGAAAGAAGAAACCATAAAGCCCTCAGCGGTGCTAATTTCACAATCTCATCTGGACACCATCTGAAGAGAAGCGGCAAACAGCTCTTCTGTTGCAGAGACCAGCACTGAGAAGCATTTCCACTGACACACATGTTCACGTAAGAAGAACATAATGGGTGTTACAGACAACAGGAGGCCATTCAGCACAATTTAGCCTGTTTGATACTGGGTAATCAATCCAAGGATCCTATTCAGCCGTTTCTTGAAAGAAGCCAGTGTATCGGCTTCGACAGTGCGGCCGGAGGGATTGCTCCACGCTCCCACCCCCCTTCGCGTAAGGGTCCCGCACACCCCCACATCACCAGATCCCTGGTCAAAGCCGCGCTGCTCACCTGAAGGCTGGGTTCCCGCGGTTGTGCCGAGCGGCGATTGTTTCCACCTCCGGCCCGCCATCCGCGACGAAGCGTGCCAGCTTCTCCGCCACCCTGTGCACCTCCTCGTCCACTGGGGGGGAAACTTTAAGCAGGCTATGAGTACTGGGGTTCAACTCACACAACAACTCAACAGCCACTTAGATTCTATAGCGACCAGGGGATAAGAAGGGGGGAGAGGAGGGGTGGAAAGAGGAAGCGTTTTTAAAAAAAAAACTCCCGTGGAGTTGCAGCCCCTCATGATGATGGATGGGGGCAGCGATATGACCGCAGGTTTAAAAACTGCGCAGTCAGGCTCTTGCCTCTGGCCTTCGGGGACTCCAACAATATTCTGGGTTTCACCAGATACGCGGTTTAGATACTCAAGATGCCAATTAGAAGGGGGGCCGTCTGTTTCTTGATGCCCAGAGCTTGGGTCTCAACCACCAAGGTGGGAAGCCAGCTACAGAAACCCACCACTCTTTGTGTAAAAAAGGGTTTTCTTTTTTTTCATCTTAAATGAACTCCCTTTTAAGTCTTTACTCTGTATGTGTATGTGTGTCCGTTTCTGTACTGAGCAATAAACAGTCCACTGCCGTGATCCTGTCTCCACCTTGAAGGATCGTTTATAGCTGAACCAAATCCTCTCAGTGTTCTGTGTTCTTTGACGTAGAGACTTCTCCTGTTTAACTTGACAATATACAACCAGTATCCAGGGTCCAGGAATCTGGAAACTGTGTGCCATTTGTATCCTTCTCAAAACCCGCACAGCCATTTAATGGCACAATACCCAGCAATGCAACTGTTTACAATAAAACAAGTAAAGGTTTATACTGTACTGAAAAGAGAAGAAAAGAAACTCAACGTTTCGGCTGTGGAGCCTTCTTCTGCTGCCACTTCTTTGACACCCAAAGAAGGCTCCACGGCTGAAACGTTGTGTTTCTTTTCTTCTCTTTTCAGCAGGAAAAAACCTTTACTTGTTCCTTTGTAGCCTGCGCATGCTGACGCAGCTCCCTAATGGAACTTTTAACACTATACAACATGTCGCCACTGACATCAAATTCCTCCCAGTGCTGCTCATCAGCCTGTTGCTGTCAGGACCATAAGAGGAAGGACACAGGAAGTTTCAGAAGGGGGTGTTTCCCCAACAAAAAACATAACCACGTTCTTACCATCTGAGCTGGGGGAGATCTCTTCTTTGGTTTTATCCTTTCTGAGCTCTGCCACTTTCCGTCTGTAGTACAGATAGTCCCGACTGTTCTTGTCATACAAGAACCTGCAGACAAACAGACGGTAAATATGACCACCTGCTCCACCGCTCATCGTATGAAAACCAAAGAATTGCTGGATGCACATTGGTCAGGTGGGATGCTCTCGATGTTTTTTCCTATAAATAAAGCGCTTTGGAATCTTTCTGATTGAAAAGCACTAGACATAGGCTAAGAGTTATCCTTTTTTAGACGAAGTAACTTCTTTAAAGCTGCAGAACCTCCCTGCTGGGCGAAGCTGCTCCTAGTCAGTAACTAGGATGAGAGACCTCTAAGGACAAGCAGGTGTAAGTTGTTGTTGCCACACCAGCAAGTGGTGCTCTTTCCCTCTTGGCCAGTATTCCAAATCAATGTCCCAGTGTGGAGTCTCAGTCTGTCCTGTCCTGTAGGTGGTGCCATCCTTCTGCAGAGGCTTTAAACCAAGATCCCGACTACTTAGATATTCAGGATTTTAAGGCCTTGATCAGGACTATAACCCCAGTGCCTTGCCTGAATTCCAAACTGGGCTCCCTAAGGGTCGCCAAAGCAAAAGAACCTCCGGACCTCAATCTAAAGTCTATTGTTTTACTGTGAGAAGTACCTAGTACCTAGTCTTCAGTACCAAGAAGTACTGATTGTATTGTATTATTATTATTGTATCATTCGTTACACTGTGGCTGTGTTGTCTGTGTTAAGCTGCTGTTGCACTGCAATTTCCCTCACGGGATCAATAAAGTATCTATCTATCTCTATCTACCTACCCAGGCAACCTGCCTCTGAAACAGGGTGTACCATTACAGCATCTTATGGAGTATTACAATTCTTTTAATCCCAGATCTCCCAACTACTGAAGTAAAAACGGAAACCCAGAGACTTATCTGAACAGCAGTTTCTCAAGTCGGGGATGTTGCAAAAGGAGCAAAAAATTTGCTTGACAGCCGGCATAAGAAACACTTGCAACCTCACCAGTTTGGTTGGGGGCTTCTATCTTGCGACACCTCGAACTCAGCAGTTTTACAGAGAGCGAGGACTGGGTTAAGATCTGCCTCCTTTCTATGCTGATGTGCACATCAGAAAGACATCTCTCGCTCTCAAACTTAAACAAAGAAACCTTTCGTGGGGACAATTTGGGACGTTATAAACAGTTTATATGCTTTATGATATTCTTCAGTCGTCCCCACTGCACAGATAGAGAGGAGTGGACAAAAAGAAGTGAACTGAAAAAGCTTCATTTCCGTCACTGCTGGTCTCTACAATAAAAGCACGCCCGAGGCGATAACTGAGCTGCGAAGCCGCTGGGAGAAGGGCAGAGGGACTCACAAGAAAAGGGGGTTGTCCCTGTAGTCCTCCTTGGCCTTCCTCTCCAGCTCCGGCCCCCCTTCCGCCACGAAGACCGCCATCTTCTCCAGGATAGTGCGGGTCTCGGGGTCCTCTGGAGGGGAAACTTTAAGCAGGCTATCAGTACTGAGGCTCAACTCATACACACAACTGCACCACCAGCCAGCCGGGAGGTGGTGGGGGAGTCTGGGGTTCACAGAGAGGATGGGCGAGGAGGAGGAGGAGGAGGAGGAGGAAGGAGGGGGGGGGAGGAAAGAGAGTCAACAGCCATCTTCAACGCTTTTTCAACCCACCAGAGAAAGCCTGGCTCGCCCAAAGACTGACCCTAGTCTGAACCTCCACCCACTTTTCTGCCTCGTATCTCCTTCTCGGGCGAGAAAGTTTAGTGTCAGATCTTCTAGCAAGATAAACTGCAAAAATAACTTGAACTGTTACGGCCTGTTATTTGAGTCTAGAAACGGACAGCGTGAAAATTAAAAACAACTGCGGGCCTGCCACGTTTAAAATGGCAGTCCCAAACGGTTTTGTCCAGGGCTTTGTCATTGTACAGCGTAAATTCCACGTGGGTACAGACTCAGTTTTTAAAAGGTTTCTACGGCTAAGTTTTAAAGTAACTAGATCTCCAGGGGTGTTGGAACAGACAGCAAATGCAATCTAACTTTTTTCCTAGAATCGTGCATGTGGCAAAGAGCTTCAGCACCTTTTTTAAAACGTGTAACATCCCTTTCAGCAACCAGCCTGGCACAGTTGTGTCTCACAGCGGTGCTTATTTTTGTGCGGAACAATCATAGCCCTGCGCAATGTGGTTTCTGTTAGCTGCCTCATGCGTAGTGGTGCTGCACAGAGGCAGAGTGCCAGGACTTTTAGAGAAGCTGAGCTCCGTGCAGAGAGCTGCAATGATGAAACAAGAGCGAGACATGGGTGGCTGAACCTCCCCGGCTTTTGTTCTGTAAAAACCCCTGTGTTCGTTCAAGTCAGCTATGTATTAACACGCACTGATAGATTATAAAGGGCTTAGCATTTCTGGTTCGCAGCAATGGGGCTGTGGTTTCAGCCCCGGAGCTGGGATGCTATCTGTGTGGAGTCTGCATGTTCTCCCCATGTTCACACGGGTTTCCTCCCACAGCACAAAGACACGCTGGCAGGTTAACTGGGTCTGGTGCGAGTGCATGCAGGTTTGTGTCAAGTGTCTCTACTGTAAGCGATACTGAGGTAAGGACTATGTAAGACCACGGTCATGGTGATTACCTTTGACCTCTAGGTAGTGCAGATCGTCAGTCTCATCCTCGTCCTCCTCCTCTTCCGGCGAGACGAAGACGCTGGGGCGGGGGACGCGGGGGGCCTGCTTGGCCTGGGAGTAGTTCTTGTACTGGTTGAGCATGCTGCTGAAGCCGAGGCCGGGCCGCTTGCCTATCAGGATACTCTTCTTCGGGGCCGGCGCCCCGCCCGCAGAGCCTCCCGGAGCGGGGGCCAGCCTGCTGTTCGAGGGGTCACTGCCGGCTCCTGCGTGGGGACCCACAGCCGATCCTAGAAAACACAAAAGGGGAGCTCAGCACACGGACTCGGCTGTTCTCCTTATACGGGTGTTTGAAAACCCTGCAGAGCTTCAGCAAGACCTCTGGTAGAGCACCGCGCTTCTGTTTTCTTCTCTGCGTGCTGCAGAAAGGACTCTTGCTCTGGCTTGAGTTCAAGGGAGAGCACGTTCAAAGGCTAATTCTCGGTCTGAAGAGGAGCAGCCTATGCAGTCTGGTTACAGGAACTGAACCTCTTCAGTCCTCAGGAGGGGACAGGGAGAGAAGAGACGATACAAGCATTTAAAGGGCAACTGCAGAACTGTTTTTACACCGCAGGGTTAGAAAGAATCAGCCTTTTGATGAGTGCATTTCCAACCACAATGAAACTAAAAAATACACGGTAACTTGCTCAACCTCCGATTTGCATCACAAAACAGACGAACTTTCCAGGTGTTGCGCAGCACCAGGTCCTGTGATTCAGAACGAGGCAAGAAATCTTCAGGTGATGTGAAGCTGTCCTATGACACTGTAAACAAGCCGGCCTGTGAATCCATCTCTTTTCATCCAATAGAAATATTGCTCTCGACTTAGAGATGGTTTTGCTTGACAAAGACTATGTGCTTGTTAACTCTGCATGCAGATCACGTTGGAATATTTCTGCGGTGAAATGTCTGCTGCACAACCTGTACTTATTCACTCCTACATCGCAGTACATCAGTCATTACAGGGACTAGTGAGCAGGAAGGGCCACATTGCCTCGCACTTTGTGGGAACTGTCGATCTCACCCGCGCCCGTGGGGAGACCAGGGGTTTGCAACAAGATGGCGACTCACAGTACTTTCATAAAATTAATGATTTTGTGCTTAATCTGATATGAATTTGATATGAATAAATGAATTTATTTTGTAACAGAGATTTTATAATAGGTCTGAAAAATAAGGACAGCAGTTCCCCTTTAAAAGCCATAGAGTAAAAGAATAAAAAACAGGAACCAAGTTGAAACATATTGACGTGGAAAAACACAATAGTCCTGCAGTGCAGGCTGCATCAAAGCTGTAAATGTCTTTACACAAAGGGTTGCGGGGGTCTGGAACACCTTGCCCAGCCATGCTCAAGTGGTTGAACAATATCCTCCGATCAATATGTTAAGAAGAACCATAAGTTGCTGACTGACCGAGAGAGAGCGAGACCTTCTGCATCTAAGTTTACCGGTTTTCAATTAAAAAAAACGAACTGCACCGTTATTGTAAATCTAGTCTTTGATGATCGCATGTACCCAACAGGGCGTTTGCAGGCAGGTGAATCTTGGGAGTGGACCTAACCTCAAGGCGGCCATGTACCTGAGTTTGAGGCCGACTTCTCCTTCTGCATCTTCAGAAACTGCTGGAGGAAGCTGCCGTCGTTGGCAAACTTGTTAGAAGTAGGCCTCTGCTCATCTGGCGAGCTGTGGGAAAAAAATAGCATCAAAACATTGCATTGGAACACAGCATCAACTTACTGTGCATACTCTCACGTTCTGCAGAACTGGAAGTTTGCATGCATAATATCCTAAGGAGTTAACTGCACATGTACACACATTTGATACATCACATTTGATACCAAAAACACAACTAGTGAGAACCCATGTCTAAGGAAATACTTGTGCAATTCAAAGTCTTATTTCGTGATTGTCTGTCGCTCAGACGTTGATTTGTGCGAACTCACAGTTCCATTTGTCCTTCAACCTTTCTTAATCCTAGAACAAAGCAGGAGGACATAAACCAGCCTGATGTCCTTTTAGAC